CTGCTCCGGTTCTGTAGGCGCAGACACATCACTGTGTCATCGCGCCGTGTCCTCAGTGCAGCGCGGAGCGAGGCTGCTGCTTGGGCACGAACCCTGAGCTTGGTGCTTGGGGGGGGTCGAACAAATCCTCAGCACTGTTTTGTTTCTGATTCTCTGCTTTCCCATGGCAGTGCTCGGGGCTTTGCTTTCAGAGGCAGCAGTGCGAGAATTTTCACCGTATTAACCTCGTTTTAGCCCTTGCTGCTTTCAATTGTAGCTTTATTGCAAAAAGGAAACAAACCAGTTTTCCAGAGTTGGCCTTTTCACAAAGGAGTTTGTACAAGACGTGTAAAACTTCCTCTGTGGTAGTTTTACGTAAATGGGTGTTATTGTGTTGCTTTTGGGCACTGGGACGAGCCTGACAGAGTTCAAGAGGTGTTTGGACAATGCTCTCAGGCACAGGGTGTGATTCTCAGGGGTGTCCTGTGCAGGACCAGGAGCTGGACTCGATGGTCCTTGTGGGCCCCTTCCAGCTCAGGGTTTTCTGAGTCTGTGGTACTTTCTGAAGAAAATTCAATAACGATTTTTCTCTTTCTTCCTCAGAAATACCCACCTTATATTTCATCAGGCATCCCTTTCCTTGGACATGCAATTGCATTTGGAAAAAGTCCCATTGAATTTTTGGAAAATGCTTATGACAAGGTATGTTTTCCCACATGACTGGTTGGGCATATGCTGAAATATTTTTGTGTGTCTGTTAAGTTCTTTGGAGCTTGTTTAAAATCAGTTTGTTCTCATTTACCACCTTGAATGTGAAATGGAGTATGCATGGTAGGCTCTGGTATCTTTTTATTTGCATTCTTGTTAAAGAAGTAGTATTAGAAATTAGACTATTTCTTGTGATTCACATGTAAAAGCTATGTTTGTGCATTTGAGTAATGCTCATAGCTGAATCACAAGTTAATTAAAAAGCCATTTTCATGACATTATTTCTTGCTTTAATTAGCAACTTTTAATCACATTCTTTCCTAATTTGGGATGGGGCTGGGGTGTAGGCAACTTGGATGAATTTTAAGGCCTCCCCGATGTTAAAGGGGCTGGTGTATAAAACCTCAGTAATTTTTATACTCTTAACAGCCCAAAAGAAATTAACTAAGTCAGGAGAGCCTTAATTCCAATGACATCAGATTTAGCAATCTGTTTCACATTGTCTAAAACTATGTAGATTATGAACTTAAGGTTTAGCTTGGTTAGTTTAGGAAAGCAAGAAGTTGTGCATAAAGGCCTGCTGGAGGTCACTTTTCAACTTTGAAATCTCATTTGCTCCTAATTACCTATGCATAACTCCAAATCCAGAATTTTTTGAGACGATGTTTGTAGATTATGAGAGGCAATATGTGCTGTAATCACCCTGCAAGTTCTTGTAGTGTGATTGATCTTCTATATACCTTTTTCAAAATAAATGGTTTTAAAATGTGCAAGATCATTAGCTATCACCAGTAACTATATTGAGAATAGAATTTAAAGGGGTTTAAAGTATTTCTATCTTTATTAAATCTCTGGATACTTCTTAGGAAGAAATTAAATTATGGGAGACTACACAGACATAGGGATTGAATGACTTGTGTTCTTATGTAAGATAAATTGTGGTGGTTTTTTTAAATTTTCTTTCTTAGTATGGACCTGTGTTCAGTTTCACCATGGTTGGCAAGACATTCACATACCTACTGGGCAGCGATGCTGCTGCTCTACTCTTCAACAGTAAAAATGAAGATTTGAATGCAGAGGATGTGTACTCCCGGTTAACTACACCAGTTTTTGGCAAGGGAGTTGCTTATGATGTCCCTAACGCGGTATGTATTTTAAAATACTAGAGCAGAGTAGTTTGAATTCCAAGTAGGCAGCCTGAGCTCTTGGCTCTGTATGATGGAGCTGTGTGCTCATATGCAATTCTGGCAGATTGCCCTGGGTAAATAGTCTCATTTGGGTAATCAAGGCTCAGCATATCCAGGTTGCTTTCTTTCCCACCTGGCCATTTGTGAGTCTGGATGTTATCTTATGTTCTTGAAACCATCTAATCCCATCACAGATGAAAAGCTAGTGAGGGAGTTACTCTTTCCTTCCCTTGCAGCACACCACTGACTGCAATTTCATTTTCTATTCTAAGCAACTTTAGGTCTTGCTTCTGAGAGAGATTTAAGAGTGATAATTTTTCCTTTATGCCTTGCCAGACCTAGACACAGGAGTATAAATTTGACAGTTTGCACCACAAGGTTTGTCTCGCTTGGACAAAACTATTTCTGTGTATGTTTGCAGAATAGAGTCTGCCTGGGAAGCACAGGGGCTGTGGCATGTGGCATTGTGTCCGAGCTAAGTGTTGGCTGCTTTGTTGTTTGTGATTGTGATCTGTCACGTCAGACTCTTCAAACTGCAGTAGCAGACTTTCCTGTGGATGGTCTTGTTCCACTGGGACTCTGCATTGAGTGCATGTTGGCATCAACAGCCTGTGGTACAGCAGAGAAGTTTGCTGGCATCAGCAGCATTATGATATACTTTGATTTTGGGTTTTCAGTTTTGGCCTCATTTTGTTGTATGAATTCCAATCATTTGGTAATAGTTTCTGTGACCATCCACGCTTTTCTTCCTTAGCAAGCCCCTTCCTTTTCCCCTACCTGCTTGTGGTGATTGTTGGCCTCTTAATTATGTGGTTTATGAGCCGTAATCACTACTGTCTTTCCCTCCGCACTGGGCCTTTTCACCATGATCTACAAAGTACATATGTTGTTCTTACCCCATCCTTTTGGAAACCACATATACAACTGCCTACAAGTGACTTGTAAAGTTGGTTATCTCCTGCTCTGTCAAAAAGTATTATATTGTGGATAGGCAGTGTCACAGAGTTTGGGAGGAGGATTTGTGGTTTGGGTGGTGGATTCTTTTGCACTTCATGGATTTACATAGCTCCTCCCATCCCTCTGGGAATGGAAACAGTAGGACTGCAGGCTGGGTAACAAGCAGATCGTTTCTTGAGTCCTAGGAGAACTCTTCCACAAGTGGGGCCATTCTAACAGACTTGTTTCTACCAGTTTCAACAGTCAGAGGTCTTCCTCAAAAAGTCAGGGATGGAGTTGTGACTCCCTTTTGTAGCTGCTGGAGTGTAGAGAGTACATGATGCTCTGCAATATGTCTTTCAAGCTCTTCTCTGGTATATACTAGTTTCAGAAAAGTGTCTGTGAATCAGACACAGACGGTTAAGTTGGACAGATTCTCACGGAGTTGTGCTTGTTCTTGGGATTCTGACTGTCATGGGATGTCTGCTTGAAACTGAAAGGTGTTGGTTTGTCCTTATTTCTGAGTTTGCCCACTTTTTACCGCTGTTTTGACTTCTGCTTTCATGCTTTACAGTTTGTGGGTGGATTTGAATGTCTGTCTTCACTCAAGAGCTAGTTCTTAGATGGGATCTAGTCTCATCCTTCAGGAGTTTTATAGAACTTATTGTAAGCTCCTTAGAAATCGCTATGTGTTAAAATTTATGTACTTCAGGCATACAGAGATGAATAAGACCTCTCTCCAGTGTGTTTGAGTTCTGTTTTAGTCAAGAGATTAATCTTTTCCTATTAGTAAGCCTTGGGTGTCTGTAGATATGTCTGCTTAATTCATACCTTTGATACCAGAAGGACTTCTTACTTACTATCTCTGCAGATCGAGGTTCCTCGGAAAATTACCTTTTTCCACAGTGAGGAGATGCAGGGACTTTGCTATTGGCATACACTGATTATCTATAGTTTCTCTCTATGAAGCTAGAGAGGGAGCATGCCTGGTTGTGGCCAGAATGCATTCTGCTGGAGATGAGCTGGTTTTTGCCATGGTATTACCACTGCAGTTTAATATCGGGCATCTAATGGGAAGGCATTTAGAAAGCCATGGAAAATTTACTGGCATTCTACCATTGATGGATCATCCTGAACTGTTGAGATTACCTTCTCTCTGCTCAAGCTGCTAAATCTCTCTTTCTTAATTCTGACAGTGATTTTCAGTTATGTGTTTAGCACAACCACACTTTACTCTTTAAAAAATTGCTTATTTACCAGTGATTCTGGTAATTGTTATTCTGCATAGTCCATATATCAGCTCATACTCTCAGTCTGTATATGAGCTGATATTCTCTCTGTATCTCCTCTCTCCAAGCCTCTTGCATATAGTTTTTCATTGAGAGTACCTGAAATGGCAGAGGAAGATGGAGATTGGCTAGCATGTTGCAAGGGAAAATGTGCTTGTCTCTTTTTGCTCTGTGGCATGTGTACCCCCAGACAGACTGCTGCATTCTCAAACCAGAAGTTTCTAGGAAGTAACCTTTCTTTTTATGCTGTGCATAACTTTATGGTACATGCAGAGCCCTTGGTGGGAAGACAGTTTTTGGTGCATTACTCATGGTACAGTGCACATCTATAGAACAGATGCCTCATTCATAATTTCGTCCTAAAAATCAATTGAATAATTTTCTGAGTCAATCTCTTATTAATCTATTGAACAGTTCTCTTACAACAATGGGTTTTCACCAGTGGGTTGGTTAGATACAAGTCTACACAAAGGAAAAAGAGGAAGAGGCGAGAGGGGTGTGAGCCTCACCATTTTCCTCAGGAGCAATTTGCTGCTTCTGTGTCTGATTGCCTGGGCAGTGAGATCAGAGGGCTTTGTAAAAGAAAGGGTCATCTCTAGTCCAGAGGTAAGACAGGACTGCCTGAGAGAAGACAGGAGGGGGGAAGTGAGAGCAAGGAGGCTACATAACAAGGAACACAGGCTGAAGCCAGATGTTGCAAGGACAGAGCTGATTACATTTGTAATTATGTATCTAGAGGACATTCTGTATTTCAACCTTGAATGCTTCTGCAGGTCCTTTTCTAAACTGTTGCTTGAAAAACAAAGAAGGTAAAACCGGAATATTTCCTGTTATTTAAATTTGAGTACCTACTGTTTGTACCCTGCAGTGCTAACCATAATCCCTATTTACTTCTGGATGTTCTTACAGTACAAATGCTAATAAATTTTTAATTACATTAATATGAAGACCATTGTACTGATTACCTTTACTGTCTTGCTTCCTTTAGCTGTTTCTGGAACAGAAGAAGATGCTCAAAACTGGGCTAAACATTGCCCAGTTTAAACAGCATGTGTCTGTGATTGAAGAAGAAACAAAGGAGTATTTCAAAGCATGGGGAGAGAGAGGAGAGAAAAGTAAGCAAGATCAGATGCTTTTCCCCCCAGTTTTCTGGGAAGGAATTAAGGCCAATGCAGTGTGGTTTTGTAAATGATGTACTGCAATATTACAGAAATTAAAAAATGCCTAGGTAAAAGTGTACCCAACATCAGAAGAAACATTCAAAGTACAGATTCTGTTTAATAACATTTAAGGCTATTGGAGAATAAAGCTGCTCAGCAAATGACTCAAAGGAATGAAGGAGGATCTCAGTTTTGCTTTCTGAGTCAGCTCATAGTCAGTGCACCTGTTGTGCTTGTTCTGCATGATACCAGTCAGCTCAGCTCAGTCCCTAGGAACACCTGTGGCTCAGGCCCTGTAGAGCCTGTGTTGGAGGTCTTAGCTCAGGGAGCTTCTGCCTTGAAAAATGGCATCCTTGAAGCTGATTTGGTTAGGTCAGTGATCTGAGTGAAATTCTCTTTTGGCTCCCTTTTCCCAACTAGCCTGCTAGACATAGCCCATCACCATTGCTGCAGGCCCACAGCTGCATAACAGTGTCAGAAGTATTAATTATTGAAACATCTGTATTTATGTTTATGTAGCATGTATGTATCACATTTTAATATAATCATTTGCTTTGAAAGTATATCATTTGCATGTAATATAGTCAGTAATATGGTAATATATAATTTGGTCTTTAAATTTGCAAGTACTACTATATAAAACTAATTCAGTGAGCAGCAAAACTAACTGGTTTCCCATGGATTTGGATTTCAGGGTTAAACTTTAGTATAATTTCACTTACGTTTATTAAGGAGGACTGAGCTCATAGTGCATGGTTTGCATCAAAAGGATTTCTAGGTAGAAAAATTTCTAGAAAGAAATACCTTAGAAAAAAGGTGTTGAAATCAGTGATCTAATAAAAAAGCTGTTTGAAGAGAGAACTGATAGACACACAGAAATTTTAAATTGGATGCTTCATTCTCCTAGTAAAACAATCTAAAACTCTTGTAAATTATTAATCTGTGTCCAGTTATTTTGTTTCTTTTACAAAATAAAAATGAAGAATGACCTGTAAAACCTAACATCTCACCTGAAATGTGTCTTCAGTAACGTTTTTCAAATCTTTCCTCAGACTTATTTGAAGCCCTCTCAGAACTCATCATTTTGACAGCAAGTCATTGCTTACATGGGAAAGAAATCAGAAGCTTGCTGAATGAGAAGGTGGCTCAGCTGTATGCCGACCTGGATGGGGGTTTTACTCATGCTGCCTGGCTCCTGCCTGGTTGGCTCCCTCTGCCGAGCTTCAGGTACCACAAGTAACAATGAAGCAACTTAAGCACTTTATCTAAACATCATTGTTGTTTGGGTTGTCCCCCACCCACACCATTTCCTGTTTGTAAGCTATTCTAGATGTCCTAATAAATCCGGGTAAACACTTTATGTGTTACTTTGTCTAATGTTGCTAATAGAAGTGTTTTATATCTCGCAGACGTCGAGATCGAGCACACAGAGAAATAAAGAATATTTTCTACAAGGTTATCCAGAAACGTCGGAAGTCTCAGGAAAAGGAGGACGACATGCTCCAAACTCTGCTTGATGCGTCATACAAGTAAGCCAAGGGTTTGAAGACCTGTCATTTATAGATGGTTCACTTTAGCTTTGAGGTCTTCAGTTAAAACTATCTACCAAACCCAAGAAAAACTCCCTCAAGTTCTGAACTGGTTTTGTTGCCAGCAATTGGTCCTAGCTGTATTCTTAAAAGCAGCTTTAAATCTTGTCAATGTGTGCTGGTTTGAACTGAAGTCGTTAACTTTCTTCACAGAGGCTAGTATGGGGCTGTGTTTGGGTTTTGTGCAGAACACAGAGTTGATAATGCAGAGATGTTTTGGTTATTGCTGAGCAGAGCTTACACAGAGCTAAGGCCTTTACTGCGATCCGTACTGCCACGCTGGTGAGGAAGTTGGGGATGCATGGGAGATTGGGAGGAGACACATCTGGGACAGGTGACCCAAACTGACCAAAGGGATATTCCATACCATATGACATCATGCTCAGTATATAAGGTGGGAGGAAGAAGGATGAAGGGGGGACATCTGGAGTGATGGTGTTTGTCTTCCCAAGGGACCATTACGTGTGATGGGCCCTGCTCTCCTGGAGATGGCTAAACACCTCCTGTCTGTGGGAAGCAGTGTTCTGCACAAAACCCAAACATAGCCTCATACAAGCCTCTGTGAAGAAAGTTAACTCTACTTCAGCTCAAACCAGCACACAATGGTTACTCAGATTTCTGAGATATTCGTTGGTGGTCATGAGGTTGCTTCCTTTTTCTTTGCTGGCTGCTAGAGAGTCTCCTTCTGTTATCCCTTTTCCCTACCCCTAGATCTTTTGACACTCAATTTAGGGTAGGCAACAAAAGAGTAGAAGGAGAAAGTTGTACATTAGGAGAAACTGTAAATGCTACTGTAACTGGAAATGTAATCAAATGAATCACAGAATTGGTCAGACTGGAAGGGACTACAATGGGTCATCTGGTCCAACCTCCCTGCTCAAGCAGGGCCATCCTAGAGCACATGGCACAGGATTGTGTCCAGGCAGTTCTTGATTATCTCCAGTGAGGAGAATCCATGGCATCTCTGGGCATCCTGTTCCAGTGCTCAGTCACTCACACAGTCAAGAAGTTCTTTTTCATATTCAAGTGGAACTTGCTGTGCAATGGAAGCTCTAACATGACTCCCTTTGCCCTAGGGACGGCCGCCCGCTGACAGATGATGAAATTGCTGGAATGCTGATCGGGCTGCTGCTGGCAGGGCAGCACACATCCTCCACCACCAGCGCCTGGCTGGGCTTCTTCATCGCCAGGGACAAACCCATACAGCAACAGTGCTATGCAGAACAGAAAGCAGTTTGTGGGGATGACTTGCCACCCTTAACTTACGACCAGGTTTGTATGTTGCACTGTTCTTGCTGGGTGTTTTTATACTTTTAGGTACTTACTTAAAAAATAATTAACAAACATGACATATAGTCATGTGCTTTGTGTTACAATAATTGGCACAGTCATTCTGCAATAACAGTATTTGCCAGTACAGCTCCTCCTCTCTTATTGTCCAAGTAAATTTGCAGCTTGATAATGCTTTTTTTAATTAGTGTTCATTAAGGAAATAATTACAGTTCTATATCTATTTAAGATATTGTAGTTCTATAGAGGAGGAAGATCTTCATATTCCTACTGAGGAAAGCAATGCAGTGTGAGCACGTTTGTTAATTAGGAAACAGAAAACACTCATGAGACAGGTTAGGAAGAAACTACTTGTATTTGATTGCACTGGTCAGATATTTTTTTTCCTTCTTAATTTAATCAAATGGAAAAAAATATCAATGTAACTAATAAAGTACATATAAATATGAGCTGCTTACTCCTTTGTTTTTTATTTGTTTTTAAATGGTATGACATAGCATTTTGTGTTGAATAAAGTTGGCTGTATTTTGATACATCATTTTCTTTGTCTTTTCAGCTCAAGGATCTCAGTTTGCTGGATCGCTGTCTAAAGGAAACTTTAAGGCTTAGACCTCCTATAATGACCATGATGAGAATGGCCAGAACTCCCCAGGTGAGAACACTTTTTGGAGCTAACTTCACTGCAGCAGCACAGGCTGGGTCAGAGGGTTCTCAGCTGGCAGAAGGAAGCACAAGTGAGCAGTGTTTGCTGGTAGGGAGGAAAGCTGGTATCAGTGGTAGTGTAGCCAGAGTTGACTGAGGAAAGCAACTAATACCTCGAACTTGGTAGTTGTAACCTTCATCTGGAATTGTGTCCAGTTTTGGACTCCCCCGGCCCCCAGCAAGCAGGATGCCGATGAAGGGAAGCAAGCAGAGGGCCACCAAGATATAGGGGGCTGCAGCACTCATGGTGAGAGGCTGAGGGAATGGTTTGTTCTGCCAGAAGGGCAGAATCTGAGGGGACCTGGGAAGAGTCGCATGCAGTTTTCTTCAGTAAAGTCTTGTAGCTATCAGTCTCACTTGAGCTTAGTTTCGTGCCGCCATTTAAATCCATTTTTTGTTTGTCAGGTATTTTTAATAGCTGTCATGGGAAAATTTGGCTTGCACTTAATACAAGTGAGATAAGTCTGAAAGAAAACTTGGCTGTTTGTAGAAATAAAATAACAAACCAAATAAGTAATTTTTTAAACAATGTCCCTCCAACGGCAAAGGCTTTCAATGAAGTGTTAGGTTGCATTAATTTTAAATGCATTTAGCCAAAATCTCTTTTGAAATTTAAGTCTCTTGATGCAGCACTTCAGGTAACACTTTAAAAAGAAAAATGGAGACGTTTTGTCATGTCTGGGGTTTTATCTCTTCTCTTTGTAGACTGTTGCTGGATACAATATTCCCCCTGGCCATCAGGTCTGTGTATCTCCCACTGTTAACCACAGACTCAGGGACTCCTGGAAAGATGCTCTAGACTTCAAGCCTGACAGATACCTCCAAGACAATCCAGCAGCTGGAGAGAAATTTGCATACGTTCCATTTGGCGCAGGTAAGAGAACACAGCACCTTCCTGAGTGAGGGTGTGCTGAGGTGGCTCATACTAGTCACCTTGCACAGCAATTCTCTGCACTGCAGTGTATGAGGGTAGACTTTTTTCTTTCTGCCTGAAACTTTGCTCTTACTGTGAAAGTGCTGTTAAAAGCATTAAGTTAATAGCTTTGTGTTAGTCATAGCTGTATATATTGCTCAGTGTTTGCTCTGTTAGGTTAGCATGTGTCAGGTGTGACTCAGATCTTTTCTAGTCAAGGTAAAACCTGGTAAGACAAAGTCAGTTTAAGTTAGAGCAAAAATCTGCTGAGTCCCAACTTCCAGAACAGTTTGCAAGTACTGCCACAACAGGGTTAGAGTTGATCTCTTCCAGTGTTCCAAATGTCCTTTGCTGGTACATAAATTAATGCTTTCTGGTGGGGACAGAACAACACAATCTCATTCCACTTACTTGTCTGTTCTATGCAGTGGCAGCTTAGAAAAATAAGACTTGGATGGAATTCTGTAATGGTGTATGTGCAACATCAGAGCCTTGGATTGTTTAGGAAGGGGCAACTACTGTTGGCATAAAACTTTTAAAGTTAGCTGGTTGTCAAAGGGGATTTAATAGCAAAATATTCTAACTGCTTTTTATGGCTTTTTCCTCCCAGGCCGTCATCGCTGCATTGGAGAAAACTTTGCTTATGTTCAGATTAAGACCATTTGGTCTACTTTACTTCGTTTGTATGAATTTGATCTCGTCAATGACTATTTTCCAACTATAAATTACACCACGATGATACACACACCTAATAACCCCATTATCAGATATAAGAGGAGGTCACTGTAAATTCTGGTGCTAAAACCTTACTTAAGTTGTGTGAACTAACAGACTTGTGAATAAAATTGTGCACAATGAGTGGCAAGTGGAAGCTGTTGCAACTACTGTTAGGAAAGCCACAGTAATCTACCAAATGCATCTGTTTTGTTTGCCCACACCATTTACTGCTGCTGTAATTGCTTGTTCTGCAACTTTCTCATTGCGTTTTTAAAGCAAAACTGTCTTTTCTATTGATGTAACACTTTTCAGGTGCATGCCAGCTCTTTAATGAAGAAGTAAGTAATTTCTACAAGTGAAACTCTTTCTGCTTTTGAAAAATAATTGAGGATTACTTCCCCCAGATAACTAAGGGGCAAGGCTGCATACCTCACCTCTGCATCCAGTCACAGTGAATCCATTAGGGAACAGGCACCACATGGCAATGCATTGGTGCTGCTGTTCCTCTGGCATTTATGATTCTGTTCCAAGCAGATGAGGGATGGTCTTGGCTGATTTAACAAAATGATACTGTACAGCTGAGTAGTAGGCAGAGTACAGAATGTTGACAGGTTAAGTCTTTTCCAAGAAAAAGCCTCTCTAACTTGAAGTAGTTGTAAAATCTTAGGTTTAGAAAGTAACAAATAGTTCTCTAAAAAATATTTCTGGAAGTAGTGATCTCTGGAAGTTTGATCTAAAATGTGAAAGTAATGATATGATGATGCAAACAACATGAATTTTGTAAATAATATGTTTGTGTATAAAAAGGTCACAAATTAAGTGAAATAGCTGAATGTTGTCCATGTTTGTACTGACTCATGCAGGATTGTTAGATGGTGTTTGGTTCAGGAGTGGTGATGATAAATGGTAACGAGCTCTGGCTCACAGGAATTTTGAATTAAATTTATAAACAAACCTCTTGTAGAAGTTTTCTGTGCTCAACCCTTTCAAAAACTTTTATAATTAAACATGTAATAAAGTAACTTTCTGTCTTCTAAGTATGTAGTTGGTCATGCCAAGGGCTCCCTCCCCTGCATCAGTGCTCAGTGTAGAAAGGGCTTTGTCCCATCTTTTCCTGGTCTAAACGCAGTGTAGCTGTTACAAAACCTTGTATCAGTCACAGCAGCATTCTTCCCTTCCAGCTCTGTCAGATGTGACCAGGGGCAGCAGAAGCCAGGCTTGTACCTCTCTCTCTCTCTCTCGTAGCAGTGCTTTGGAATCTGTAAAATGTAGACCTGCAGCCACCACGAGCAGGAAGAGCACAGGCATGAGCAACCTGTTCCGTGCGAATAAGGGAGCAGCTCTGGCACACAGTTAGAAGCATGAAGTCGTCTTTATTTCAGTACTTTGACAAAATACCCATAAAATTCAAAACTTCTACCATTACAAAAATAGGTCTCTACAAGTGATATTCTGTCTGCACTGCCAGTAGCAAATATTATGAGAGTCAATGTAACTTCAGTAGCCTTGCCAGAAAAAGTGCAAGTAAACTTCGCTGAATGTAGCTCAATTTAATTAATACACAAGTTTCATCTCCTCACCCTTTTGATAAATACACACTTCATAAGTTAATCATTTAAATTAGCATTCCACAAATATACATGTAATTAAATGATGAGGTTTTTTTGTTTTGGGAATTTCTGGGGTCGTTTGGGGGTTTGTTTGGGGTTTGGGGTTTTTTTTTTGCTTGTTTGGGTTTTTTTTCTGTTTCTTTTTCATTTTTTTTCCATGAACACAAAGTGCCTATATACATAAATCCCAGTCTGCGTGGGTGTGCCAGGATGGAACTGTATACAATCGTAGAGCTGTGTTTGTATTGGTCCCACGATATACACGTTATACAAAAGCACAGAAAGAGCACAGATTTACAGAAGGCAATCTGTTAGCAGCACTGCCAGGCATGGAGATGTTGAAGGGTATTATTATCTTCTCATACCCGTGTGCAACTGAGTGTATGAAGTTGAACCTGTAAGATGGAGAAAAATTTTCATGAAGATTACTTGGAACAAGTATATGAGGATTCACCAATGACATTAAGCTAAGTGAAAAATTTTACATGGGAAGTCATAGAATACTTTGGGTTAGAACAGACCTTTAAAGGTCAAATCTTTTAAGAACAAAACTTCCCCAAATGATGGATTTTATGCTGAAGTAAGACTTTAGAACAGTAACTTCAAAAATCAAGTTTGGTAAGTTTCATTGTTCTGACATTTTCTTCATGTATTCCTTTTGCAGAAAAAAAATTGATTACAGCCTTTTTGTCCCACAGATGGCAAAGTGGGAGGAAAGAAATTCCCTGTGTACTTCCATAATATCCCAATTTTCTGGGTGCATTTTCCCCATATAGCTTAGAATCTTTGAAAGATGCCAGTTGAATCCTTGCTGCACCTTTATTAGAGAACAGGGGAAGTTCAATTGTTACCAATAAACTCAACACCTATAATTAAAGCACACTTGTATGTCTCTCTTCAAGGAATTTTACACTTTTTAATGAGTTTTTTGCTGCAGCTCAGAAATGCCTCTTGTTTAAGGCTGAAAATGCCTAAAAGTTGTTTGTTATGTATCTCAGAGAACCAGCACACTCTTGGAAGTGTACCCTGTGCTCCCCTGGAGTCCCAGGGAGAGCTGCCTGAGCCCTTACCTGACTGCACACTGCCCAGTCGCTTCTGCAGTGCCTCCAGACGATTGATGTAATCTGTCAGAGCTCTCTCGGGATCGTAGTTCTGCAGTTGGGAACAGGCGAAAGACACTGGGTTTAAGTCCCCATGCATCCCGTGGAACCTGGGGGAAGAAGAAGAACACATATGCTTTCAAAAAGTGAAACTTCACGTAAAAATAGCAGCAGACAATGCCAGATACTGTAGGCAGGGATGCCTCACTGCCTGCATATTCCTCAGCTTACCCATGTGGTAGCCAATACATCACACCCATTTAATCCCTCTGCCATTTACTGCCCACACTCATATTGTCTCCCCCAAAGAAACCACTCTTCCCCACTTGCCCCTTCCTTCTACTGCACCTGATTTGTTACTGCATTTCTCTGGGACAAAACTGAAGTTTGCTTTTCTATTAAGAAGTTTGTGTGAATAAGGACACTGCCATCTTTACAGGATTCTGCCTCTCATCGTCATCTCAAGCAATAAAAGTCAGTGATTACAATAGATTTAACATTTTTTCCATGTAAACTGCTACGGACACCTCAAACACTAGTATTACAAATGTTGAGGTGGTTTACATGAAAATGAAAACAAAAATGACTAGAATCTGGTATTCAGTAAAGATCTGAGCCCACAACTTCACATAAACTCAAAAAGGCTGATGGCACAATAACATCACCTTTGGTGAAAAATACCTGTTTACACTGCCATCTGACTCATTGATACCTCTGGGATCACACCTTAGTACAGGCAGCCAAAAGGGTCTGAACAACAAGAAGCAGTAGAGCTACCAAGCAGCTTCCACCCACACTCTGTCCGTGCTGCCATTGCAATTCTTCCCAGCCCACAGGTGAGCCCCACCAGCCACAGTGGGTGGCCCTGCTTTTCCCTTCCTTTGGCTACAGGCACCCAAGGCAGTGCCTCTTCATGCCACACTGCTCCCACACAGGAGGGTGGGCAGGCTGGCTTGGTTGCACAGCCCAGACCTGACAGGTAATAAGCACAGCTCCACTCAGGGATCGCCGCCGGCGCCAAGCACATGACGTAAATCAGATAGCAGAAGTGTGCAAGCTTTGGCCTTGATCAGGTGGTGAGTAATCACACACTGAATGCCTGAGACATAATTTGACATGTATCCTTGCAGAGAAAGTTAAATCCTATGGCATCGAACGTTACAAACATTAGCAGTAAACACTGATGCTTTCATTTAGTTAAACTGTCTGACAGAGAATAATAATTTAAACCAAAATGTACTTATGTTGAAAGTTTCCAGGAGATCTAGGAGACTCCATGCCTGACCTGGATCTATAGGAATGCCTTTGTTCTCCATAAAGATCCATGCCACCAGAGAATGAATCAGGCCGTAACTCATTACCTAGAAATACAGAAAGCAATGTCTTGAAAACTAAAAAAGTAGCATCTCTTGCACTTTACTGGGAATCTCAAATGTTAGTTTTCTGTTTGCGTATCACAAAAATGGTGTTTAACAAACACAGACCACTTTTTGACTCCCTCAGGGAAACCAGAGGGGAAATCCTGGCCTCCCAGATGTCAGTGAGAAAACTCTCAGACTGAGCAGGACATGGTTTTAGTGCAGACCTAGATAGCCAGGAATTAATAAAGAACCTTCTGATTCTCCTTAGATTCCTACAACAAAAGCAAACAGAAAACTGTTATATCCCAGGCTTTAAGCTATAACAAAAGACTGACAAGCTTTTATTCTGAGAAAAGGGCCAAGGTGCAGATCTCCTATAAAAATTCCAATGATGCAGCTAAAATTGCTTTCATGAATGCAAAAACTGCCACGTTTTTTTAAATCCCACCCACGATGGAGCAAAACAAAACTGAAGAGAAAGCAAATAGGTTAGTGTCAGTGCTGAGCATGGAAACCCTCAGAAAACTGAGAAATAGGTTAATCCAAGCAATTACAGCAAAAGGAAACAGCCCCCATTCATTCTACATGAGGAAAAAATGAATTAAACACCACCTCCATTAAGCAGTGGTGTGATTTGTGAGTACCATTTTTTCAGTCATTATTGGACGATAACTTACCTGTGTTCTGGCTAAAGACATCCCTATTGATACTCAGTACACCAGAACCTGTAACTCTGTGCCACCGACGAACCAGGAACTTCATTCTGCATTTCAAATAAAAAAAGCAAAACAGTTTCAGGATAAATGGAATAGTCTGATAAAAGTAATCTGCTTCTTGTATTATAGAAGGTCTAAGAATTACTTGAACAGTGAGCAAAATGAAGAGATGGGTGTCTAAAACCTGAATATCAAGTAGTAAACATCCTTATACACATAGGGATACACCTGCTTTCAGCTTCACCTCTGCAGTGCCAGGGACTTCAGAGGTGCTGCACAGGTCCAAGAGGGCAGCAAAAGGCTCAAGCACCTAAGCAACAGCACATCAGCATTTTAAAATCATGCT